GCAGATGTAATATCCTGAAGCAAACCATTCTTCCCCGACTTATATATCCCATCCAGGCTCTCCCGATAAAGATACCATCATCGTTCTTCCAAGCGCTCAGGTCTCTCTTCACCAAATTTGTATGGGCAAATAAACCCCCCCGACTCAAATATGACACTCTACGATTAACTAAAAACTCTGGCGGGATGGGATTACCGGACATGTGCCTTTATTACACCGCGGCCCACCTGACTCGGGTGCTGGATTGGTGTCGCCATCCCACCTCGAAGCTCTGGACAGGCCTGGAACAGTCCCTCTCTACCACGCCGTTGTCGGGGCTGGCGTGGTGCTCATCGCCCTTGCCCCCAGCCATTCGCTCACACCCCACAATAATGCCAACACTGACAGAGGCTCGCTCGGCCTTCTCGAGATACTCTATCTCGCCCCCCCCCCTCACCAGTACGGACACCCCGCCCCTGGATCCCTGGCGAACCATGCAACTTCTCCACTTCTTGAGATCTCTCCCGTCCCCGACTCAACTTTCCAGGCCCTTGACGCCCTTTGAAACCGAATGCACTAGAGAGGGTCCGGCTCGTCACGCCTTATCCTTCTGCTATAAGCTTCTGCTTACTGCCTGCACACCTGAGGAACAGTGGTTCCTGGCGAAATGGGAGGAGGACCTTGGACTAAAGTTCTCTCCTAAGGAACGCACAAAACTGCTCTCCTTATCTTACAAATCCTCGATCAGCAACAAATACCAAGAGTTGGGATACAAACTGGTAACCAGATGGTACCGGACACCACAGACTCTACCCTCCATGTACCCCCAGACTCCGGACAGGTGCTGGAGATGTGACGCCCCGTCAGCTGATATCCTCCATATCTTCTGGTCATGCCCCACGCTCAGTACATTCTGGAACCAGGTACACACTATCACCCTAAAGTTCACTGACCATCCAGTCCCCCGAGACCCGGCCTTCTTCCTCCTGCATCACAATGACTACTCAACCAAAACCTACAAGAACTCTATAGTCAGACACTTAGTGAACGCGGCCCGGGCGTGTATTCCAGCCCGGGGGAAAAACCCTGAACCCCCCAATGTGGCCCAATGGCTTGATAGGATACACGACATTTATCTAATGGAAGACCTTACCAGCTCCTTACGCAATACCCCCGACAAGTTCAGGAAGACGTGGTTCTACTGGATGGAGTTCATCCTCTCCCCAGAATATGAGGCTCTGCGTCAGGACCCCGTTCAGTGATTCGATAGAATAGTTGCCACGCTCTTGTTGTCAGACCTGCCTTTTCTCCCTATCCCTTCTTTTGGTCCCACCAATCTCATCCCCTACCCCATTCCCCATTCCCTTCTAACCTCCCCCCCACTACCCTGAACTCCCCTTATACAGTCAGCCACGTCCATGCTGTAAATCTATAAGACCCCAGACCAGCCCCTGGCCCAGACTTGATGAAGAAAACATCAGATAGGCCTCGCATATATGCCTCCTCACGACGTCTCGTTATGGATCAGGTCAACAGACCACCTCCCCCTCCCCATTCGTCATAAGTTTTGGATATGCGACTTTATTTGGTTTTGTACCCTTCCCTGCAATTTAAGCTGGTTGAATGCAAGCTGCTGCCAGATATGATGATTGTATTTGGACCCTCTTGAGGAACTGTATATGTATAAGGAAAATGTGAAAAAACCCCTGTTAAATAAAGAATTTATAAAAAAAAAAAAAGAAGTGAGCGAGCGACGGTATGTGTTCGCTCACTTCCCGATCTATTGAGCCGACGTGTGACAGTTTCATTGTCACAGGTCGGCTAGAACTATGAGGCTGAGTGATTTTCACTCGCCTCATAGTTCTCCTTTAACGCTGTTTTGCCTCCTCACCTTCAAAATTAAGAAATGGCATGGAGTTCTACAGAGATCTCAAAAGATTAATTGACCCTAGCCAAACTTCCATCATTTATCAACCAATTGACCACCAGACATTTTTTGGCTCCTTGGATAGTTCCATTGAACCCTTGATAGTAAATATTGACCTCTTGGGGGACCGTAGCCTGTGCTATTCATTTCAGCTACATTTTGCTGATTTACAGCATTACTTATACTGTGCAAAATGTGGAAGCTCCTGTTGCATTGTATGTAGCCAGTGGACCACTGTTTTAGAACAGACCAGCCAAAAACATTCAGATGGCTGTTTCTATCCTGCGATAAAGCCGTCGCTCATAAACCAAGGCTATCAAATGCTGTTCCTTATGTTAAAGCAGACCCATAGTAAAAGTTAAACGCTATATTAACATTCCTGCTGGAGTCAATATATTTAAGACAATATTGATGAATAGAAGGACAGAATTGGGTGATGTTCCCTTCAAAGATGATCACATATCTGAAGACCTAGGCATGTGGTTATGTGATCTTTACTGAAGGCGAGGATCAGCCAATTCGTACATGCCCTACCCTTTAACAAAGAGCGCATGACCACATGCCCTGACCATAGCTTTATGTCCTTTGTATGTATAGGTCCATTCTGAAGTTACAGCATTACAAATTTTCAGATGATACATTGACCAAGCTGCTTATTACCTAATAATTTTAAGTATTCTGTAATATTTTGGGCACTTTTTACACTGTTGGAAAATAATGGTTTTTGTAAATAATTTTTTCTATAAGGCTTCAGTTACTGCACACAGGTTGCACAGCTAGAGCCTTATAAGTGGATTCTGAATTCAGTTTTCCTGGAAGACGTTCTGCTACTTAATGACCAATATTTCAACTTATTTTCTGTGTATTTGTTAGGATGTTCAAAGCCGCTATCACCTGGGAGTGTGCTATGAAAGAGGATTTGGAGTTCCAGAGAGCCGAATGGAAGCTCTGAGACATTATGAACGGGCTGCAAAATCAGGACATGAGCCAGCTCAGGAGAAATTACTGGAGATGCAGCAGACTCAAGGTAAGGACATGCAAAGCTGCCAATTATTGAGAAATACATGGGTGTGAAATGTAACAGTTCAGCGACCATTTAATTATTCTTTTTATTTGTTGTAGTTAAATAGAAAAAAAGTATGTAAAAGTGTCTGTCCCGAAATTTGTGTTCTAACATAATCTCAGGTCTAACAATAAATAGACTCTGATCCCTCTATCAGCACTGCTCACTGCCAGCATTTCACCTGGCTTTCAATCACACTCCTGGCAGGGAAACTATTAAAAGTCGGTAAGCTTACAGGATAACATGGGGCCAGGCTTTGCAGGAAATGTTCAGGGTTAGCACAAAACAAGCCAGTGACTGGGTGCTGGAGTGTCTTGAGCCTATACTCTGTCACCCCACAATAAGGCAGGTGCTCAGTGAGTGTACCATTGGTGCATTCAAACTCATTTGTGCTACAGTCTGTTTTATGGACCACATCAAGCTCAGTTCCCTCAAGACCATTGAGTTATTGTAACTGAATTTTATTTTCTCCTAAACATTCACAAATGTAGAGATATCCCATAGTTGTGGATTTAATATTTTTTTTGCATGCAGTGGGCATTCAACTGTTTAAAAGCCTTATGTTCTTTGAAGTAGTTATCTCAAAAAGTCACAGGTGCAGAGTACACTAGCATCCAGGCAGCTTGTTCAGATCAATGACAGAGTGCGGCTGTGTGCAGTGACACACAGATCTGAGCGGCCACTGATGTATTGGGTCTTATGCATGAGGATGTGCAAATGCCCCTGTATACCTGTAGCTCCTAGGATTTGTGTATATCCACATATGAATGAATATAGAGAGAGACTTGTTGCACTCACTGGATAACCCAACGACAGAGGAGGGTGCTTGTAGTGACTGCGGATGGCACCGCTAGTTACATGGATCATTTGAAGAGATGTCACCAGCACGCCAAAAATCCTTTCAGGATAACCATGTGTTCATTTAATAAGAACCATGTCAAGTAAAAACAAGCGCTTTCAGGGCCATGCAGGGTCCCTTCATCGGGCTTAACACTGACTGCTTTCAATTCGGTGTTAAGCCTGATGAAGGGACCCTGCGTGGCCCCGAAAGCGCTTGTTTTTGCTTGACATGGTTCTTATTAAATGAACACATGGTTATCCTGAAAGAATTTTTGGTGTGCTGGTGACAGCTCTTCAAATGATCCACATATGACCACGCACAGTCAAAGCCTGTCATTTGTTTGAACAGGCTTCCTGCACACTGGTGTATGCTGCACCTTTGACTCCTGGGACAAAAAAAAATACGACCATAATATAAGCATGGGCGCTTAGAGTTAAAATATTTTATAAAAAAAAGCAGTAATGCCTGTAGTGAAAAATCAATGTAATCTATAAGGATAGGCAAGAAAAACAAGGTAAAAAAAAGAAATTCAACCTGTGTTAAGCTTTTGTGAATGTTGCCTATTGATGTGTGTAAATCATGTGGCTCAATGTAAGAAATCGATGAACACTTGGCTGATATAAATGCAGATTCAGGGAGGTGAGTGTGTACATGCAGCCACTAGAGGGAGAATCTTTTCTGCAGTCAATGTTTCTAATCCTCCCAGATCTTTGTACTTGTCTGGGACATACTCCACCCAGCAGTTGCATCTTCTAAATATATCGATAATATTAGCATTTTAATAGGAATGCTCTTATGGTTCTCTACACATTTTCTACAGGAGGATAAGTGTGCCCATTCGAGAACAGGTACATTTGGGGAAATTACATAGAATACTGAAGAAGGGTTTTCATGGGCTGTATGTGCAGGAGAGGAGTGCAAAAGATGATATGATAGGCAATTTACATAGAGATTAGATACAAAGATTGGTTTCTTCTGTTACCAGGGATTTCCAGCCTCCAATAAACACCAATACTTATACCTTCCAATGGTGTTTTATACATCTTTCCTGCCACTTCTGCAATACATTATTATACAGGATTTATATAGCGCCAACAGTTTGCGCAGCACTTTACAATATAAGGAAGACATTACAATCACAATACAATTCAAGACAAGATGGTTAGGATGACCCTGCCCCTGAGGGCTTACAATCTAAAAGGGAGGGGGGAGTGATACATGAGGAGGTAGCTCTGTGGGGATGAGTTGTTTGAGAATGTGATGGTTGAGCGGTTTGGTTGAGGTGGGATAGGCTTCCCTGAAGACATGAGTCTTTAGGGAACGCCTTAAGGCAGTCAAGGTGGAAGACAGACGGACAGGTTGGGGTAAAGAGTTCCTGACGATGGGAGAGACTCTACAGAAGTCCTGGAGGCGAGCATGGGAGGAGTTGACAAGGGGGCTGGAAAAAGGAGGTCTTAGGATGAGTGGAGTGGACTGTTAGGGTGATACTTTGAGACCAGGTTTGAGATATAGCCGGGGGCAGAGTTGTGGATGTCTTTGTGAGTGATTGTTAATATTTTGAATTTTATCCTTTGGGCTATTGGAAGCCATTGGGGGGGATTGACAGAGGGGGGTTGCAGACACTGAACGGTTGGTTAGGTGAATGAGTCTAGCAATACATGTGTAAAGCAAATTGTAATACTGTTCAATTAGTGTGGTGATCCAGACACCTTGCAGAGGGGAGAGTACATTTAAGTGATGTGGTGTACATTTAGTAAAATTGTATAATTTAATTAAATGACTTTTATTTAAGACTGGCAACACAAACATCACATTTTCATTTAATATTCAGTTTGATTTTATTTGAAAGCATTTTCTTTCAGTTTTTCACTAAAAATTTTATTCATTCCAAATTACAATTGTAATTATAATCATTAGTGAGAAATTTGCATGTAATTGATTTTCTTTCTTTGCTGGAAATAATAAAAAAAAAAATAATAATAATTCCGGGCTGCTCAATCTTTTCCTTTTTAATTCCACTTCAAGAAAACTAGTTGTAAATTGTAACTGCTTACACAGGTTGATTTCTCATAGCTATGATTGGAATGTTGAAACAATTGAATTATCAAATGACTGGTTTAAAAGTCTTTGTTTGGACCAGAATTTCGTGAGGCCCTTTGTTTGAATAATGTGTCATTGGTACAAAAGCACACACTTGATATTATTGCCCTAAAGCTTTTCTTCAGATGTGAGTCTTTTGCTGCAGGCTCTTCCTGTTGCTGCAATATACCACAATACTTCCTCTGCTTCCATGCCATTGTTGTCTGCTGTAAATTGAAGTTATTCATGTATTTCCTTTACAGATCTAAGCTCTCCCGTGAACAGTCTTCGAGCCGCAGCCTCCAGCCCCTGTCTTCCTGTTTTGGAGCGGACAAACTTCTGGACAAAAGCCACCTACGCTGCAAGGAGCACAAACAGCCTGAGCCTACCTCACTCAATGAGCACTGGGGACCTGTTAGTGATGTCCCCTGCTAATAGTGGAAGCTACCTCCTGCCACCTATCCATATGACTGCAATGACGCCTCCAATGGCCTCTCTCAGAGCCATCGGGGTTGGCTGAATCTCCCTGCATTTGAAAGCAGCACTTACATATTGCATCTTAGAGAAGGTGGTAAAGTTGAGTCTTTATGTTCTCAATATTGCAAGCACACTCTATTGCTCCTGATTTCTTACTGACATAACATTAGAGGATGCATTGCCTGCTCGCCCATACAAAACACCTCCCCATGTGGTCTTTAGATTACAGCTGTATAATAAATGTCCTCTAGGATGCTAATGGGCTAGATTGAGCTACATAAAACTGGAGAGGTTAAAAAAAACAGTATCTTATGTGCCTCAACACTTACAGGCTGAATTGCAGATTTAAATGGTTCCATAGAAACTTTTAATCTTGCTTCCCTAGAACATCCTCAGTATAAAGCTCAAACCATGAACTTACTGCAGTTCCTTATAAGAAATTGTGTGACTGTTCAGGCAGGTAAAATATAAATGCAATATGTTTTACATGGATAGTAAAGGATCTGGTTGTTGGTAACCAAGCTGCACTCTGACAGAACGGAGCGCCTGCAATATAACTCCACCGTTCATTTATGGGTTGTAAATGTCTAAATTGCAGCCCGTGTAACCAAGATAGCCTAAAAGAGCTTTAAAAGCAATAGTCAGGATAGACCTAATTTCCTCTTACTGACAGATAAGGCCAGCTTTTGAGATTGATGTACAACTGTCACAAGCTAGCTTTGTGCCATGATAGTGGCATAAGCATGTGTGCTCATACTGGCCACATGTGTATAAAGTTTATTCACTGTAGTGTGTCTCTCACTGCCTGTATAGTTGGAATCCTATAGATATGTTTTTATTTCTCTAGACAGCAGAATCCAATGGGGTTGCTAGCCCATTCTGCTCTGTGACATGAGCATTACATTTGGCTTTTGCTGAAGTTAGTCTCCTTCCACTATACCTTCCATAGGAGTGAATGATGCTATGGTAGTATAAATTGCTGTTGGAAGATAGCCAGTGTTCTCCAATTCAGAATTATCAGTGTTTAATATTGTAGTGCGTTCCCTTATGGTTAGAAACACACCACAATAAAGCAAATATTGAGTATAATGGCTATTCTAGATTTATAAGTAATATACTCAGAAGGGTGGAGATTACCATCGGACTACAAAAAGATGACTGTGTAATGTTCAAAACTGCCAAATGTGAACCATGGTTTTACCCATGCAGGGCAAAGCAGCAGGTTCACTTTAAAGAAAGCCCCCAGTTTTACTTGCTGCCCCTTTTGTTATGATCGACTGTAACGAAGAGAAAAACCTGTTACTTCAGGGTGTAGGGGAGCAGGTGACGCGATCATCTCCCATGTGACAGAGCTGGTGCATCAGTGGAGTCACGAGGGAAAAGGAAAGAGTCCTCAACTTTCTGTAAGCCAAGACTAAGACTGATTTGAAGCTGGCACAGATCCTTTTACTGTTTGGTCTTGGCATTAGAGAAAGGAGAAGCATATGATGCTGTGGAGGCCGGCTCTAACGTGAATATGCTCTACTGGCTTGCATAGGCCAAGTACAGGCTCATATTGAGCTGCAGAAGATGCTCTAATCTATGCCAAAGTAGACCCAGATTCAGCATTGGTGATAGTTGCGGTAGGTGAGAGCTGAAGATCCTACAGTTAGGCACTGCGTCAGGCAAGAGCTTTCCCTGTTGGCAGTTTCATAGATCCTGTCCTGTCAGCCAAACGGCTGCCCCAACAGAACTGTATATGATCAGAGCATTTGTCATTCACATTTACACTGCAGTCACAGAGATCATGAGTTGAGTGAGGGAATGTCAATGTATAAAATCACACCCAGGGAAAGCTCTCTTGTGCCTGATAAGTGCACTCAGCCTGCGATATCATAAGCTCAGCAGTGATATTCATCTTCATTTTAGTTCTCCTTTCACATGTATTAAAAAATAAGAATCTCTGAGGAATCGTAACTGCATCTGTTGTATCTATCTCTCCCCAGGGGCACCAGTTAATGATGCCGTTCCGCTAATCCTGGTGCTATGATTTGGGATAGTTTATTAAAAGAAGATTGAATTATTTTGTTTCAAGTTCACTTTTTAAAAGCTCAAAGAGCCTGTGCTACCAGTTGTCTTGCATAAAAGAACTGCCAGATTCCGTTTAAAGAAGTGGACAGAAATATATTTTTTTGGGCAGAGTTGTGGGGGGGGGGAGATGTATTTCTACAGATGTCTGGTTTCCTGTACATAATGGAACCTGTACTAAGAGGAACATGTCAGTTGTCATTGCTGATATCTTGTGAAAATACTAGTTTTCTGGCTCCTACTTTGTTCATAATTTGAGTCACAGAGCAAGTCTGCGAATGAGAGTTCTGTCATTGCTCTGACCAGTTGCTCCATGCTTGTGCTGGGACGGTGACTCGTAAAGCATTTGTACCAAAGACCTCCAGAAGGTTTTCCCTAATGGCAGGCACTTATTTCTCCCAGAACAGGTTTTCTTTGAATAAAAGAAGTGAGCTTCTTCTCATCTACAAATCAGATTTATCTATGGAATGTGAATTATCTGATGAGCTGTATGGGTACACACAGCTATCAATCCTATTAAGGGCCCATGTATGCTTATTTGGTTACCTCAAGCGGTTTCGTGCATTGAAGGCAGCTCAAAAACGTTATATCAGCTATCAATGCACAAAAAAAATAACAAAATGAACCACAATGCACATCTTTACAATATGGCGCACTATTGCTTAGATACTCTTTTGTCCTTGTAAATGCATTGGGGTGCCATTCAGAAAATACACGTGCACTATGGTAATGCCTAGTAAATCACGTGTGTTAGTGCACACTACCACGGCACACACATGTGAATCCGGCCTAAAGGTGTCTGACACGTTAAGTGAAAAAAAATGAAACCTGTTTTATTGTGGAGCATTGATAAGCATGTCCTGGTCTCCCCATCCCTTGGTCCCTTATTGTCTCCTGTCTCCTGCCCACACACCAACACTTGACTATCTTTTTTTTCCATAGATGTGTGTAGGAGCACATGCAATAGAAAAGCTGTCTTTTTCACTTTTAGGGCACGTTTAGCTCTAATATCTTAAAGTGTATTTCCACTTTTGCAGACACATTTGAGAAAATCGCTCTTTTTAAATATTCTTTGCGCTGACCATAAACTGTTGTATTTGTTTCGTTCGACCCGTAGGCTAAATGAAACAAAAATAGAACAGATTCCCCCATCAGTGCTTAACAATGTTGATCGGGGAATCTCCTGCTGTCGTCATTGTATTCGGCTGTTTGTTCGAAGATTTTCTAACCAGCTCCATTGATCAGCTGATCGAGGGATGGCGGCTGAAAAGGTGCCAAAAGCGGCGCCCACTGTGCAAATTTCTTTATGAAGCGGCTGGAATTTGCATAGTTTGTGGCCACCTTTTACCTTTCAGATGTATCTGTGTATCAGTTTTTGGAGCTTCTCTGGACAACTTCAAAGTGACAGGAAACTCTGTCCCCATAGAAAGACTAGGGACACGCTGAGTTTCCTCTCATTAACATACAATGCTTCTGGATTTATAACCCTTTGTTAGGACAGACCGTGTTCAAATATAAAATAGGTGCTATCTCGATTTGGCTGCAAAAGTGGAAACAAGCTTCAAAGTTAAAATACCATTGGTTGGATTTAGTTTAATTTGGTTAAAGTGACATTAAAGGCAACTTTTTTTTTTCCCCTCACCCCAACGTTAATTAAAGCACTTACCTTAAATGATGTCTCTTAATCCGATCTTCTTTCCTGATGTTCTCAGCCTTCTCTCCAGCGGGTGTCCAATCCAGCGCTGACTCCTCTGAACTTGCTGGCACTTCCTGTCCCACGGTGTCTGCATGAGGGTGCACGCGTCCATAGACTTACCTTGCGTCCCTCCTCGCGTCCCGGCCAAAAATGTGAACTGCGCATGCGCCCGCCCCAAGATGCTATGCGGCCGCCCGAGAATTTTCACATTTTCGGACGGGAGCGCGCAAGGAAGACACAGGTAAGTTTAAAGCGTTTTTTTTTTTTTTGTTTTTACTTTTTGCATATATCTACTGCTTGCTAGCAGCAGATATATGCAAAAAAAGCTGAGGGTTTAGAAATTCTTTAAGTTGGCCATACACTGTGTGAATTTCAGCGGGTTTTTGATGAACCAGACGAAATGTACGCAATGGGTGGCCCTGTCTGCACCCTTCCATCCGACATCCTTCGATCAGAAAATCAAAGGATCTGGTGGAAACATTTTTGGCCGAACATCTAGCACCATAAATTCTTCATTGGACACTTGGTTTATTACTTCATGAGTCCACAAAACAACCAGCTTTTGTAACATTAATCTGAACACTGAACACTTTTTTTTGTTTTATTTAGTAGTGAACTGATGCACGCCAAAATAACTTTTTTGGTTAACCGATTCCCTTTTAGAATATTTTTATTTTATTTTATTCAATGATCGCTATGAGCACTTATCGGCAGCAGTTCACTGTGTTTTCTTGTATTGTATGTGCTACAGATCTTTATGCTCCTTTTTATATTCGTGTAAAGAACCATGACAATGACGGTTTATTATATATGCACAGTGACTGAATGTGTTGTTATGGATTTCTGAGTGTATCTGTAAGAAACATAAGGATTGTGAGAGGATTGATAAGACTTGTAATAAGCTTTTCAAAGTAATTGTCATTGTTTATCTTTGTTTTGCTATTTTATTGAGTTGAATGGTGTTTGTGTATGGAATATTCACAAAGTGTTATAATAAATGCCATTTGCCATTTATTTGCCATGCATCTGCACCTAATTTATTGCTTTCTATCCTGCAAGGCAACTTTTGTAACACGGGGAACCCTTGAAAAAATGTTAAGGTCTCAGAGAATCCCCAATAAATGTTATATCTACAGCTTAGAGTACATATGCATGATTAAGAAATATGTTAACTCTAATGTAGATATAATTATAAATAAAAGAATGGGGTGTACCTAGTTTGAGACCCTACAATACATGTCAGTTTTCATGAAATGTATAATAATAATGCAGGCAGTGAATATTGTAGTATTCAATGGAGAAATATACCCTTATTCTGGTCAGTGGAGAAGGCCCCTTTAGACAGGTGTTCAGTGGGAAAGAGCCCCTTAACTGGGAAGAATGCAATGTTACATTGGTTAATCCATGTAAAGAAAGACCAAAAAGCG